ACCTTCCAGTAGGGGTGGGTCTAAGGCCACAATGTCGGCCCACCAGTAAGGGGTATCTAGAAGATAATGGTCTTTGTGATAGTTATCTTGGTTGATTATGTGTCGGTTATGAAATCTATTTGGATGATATGTTATGTGTATAGTAGGGATTAGTTTCCCTAACAGAGGTCCATAGGACCCAAGGGTAGGTTAGTACCCGGATATGCCTGACTGTATGTTTATATCTGTTGCTTGTATGCTAGTGATAAGGGGTGAAATAGTCCCCAGTTACCGGTTGAAAGATACTGATGATGATTACCGGTTGAAAGATACCGATGATGGTTACCGGTTGAAAGATACCGATGAAGGTTGCCGGTTGAAAGATACCGACGATATTATATGGTATGTGGTATGATGGGGGAACTCACTAAGCTTCGTGCTTACAGTTTTGGTTTTGATTTCAGGTACCTCTTCGTCGAATGGGAAGGAGCCGGCGGTGTAGCTGCGCATCACACACACATGGTTTCCGCATTGAACTCCTGGGATTGTACTCTGATTTTTATTACTTCTGATGTCATGATTTGAGACATAACTTTATGACCTTGTAAGGTGTTGTTTTATCGACAATGTTTTAGTAAAATGTTTTAATTCAAAAATGAAATTTTCAGGCTTGAATTTTGGGATGTTACAACCCCAGAGGTCCAATAGTCGACCTTTGGTCAAAGTCAAAGTCAACTATCAAGGTCAACAGTCCATGTTGACCTCAACTCGTCGAGTACCCTCAGCTACTCGCCGAGTTCCTGGCATGACTCGCCAACTCGCCGAGTCACTTGAGTGACTCATCGAGTTCCTAGTGTCAGTGGCCGAAACTCCTTGGCCAACTCGCCGAGTTTTTCCTCTTTACACTCGTCGCGTTCATACGTGTCCAAAGGTTGGGAAAACCCTAGCCGACTCACCGAGTCTCTCATCTGACTCGCCGAGCCCACGCCAATCTTCATCGGACTCGCCGAGTCGACCATGTGACTCGCCGAGTCCCTTCAGTCCTTTATCCATACAGAGGCTTTTTAAGCCATGCTAAGGCTCCAAATTGTAGATCCAGCTTCCCAAGGCATGTTTATCACGTAAAGTTGCAAACTTTACTTGCATGCAAAGCTCTAAAGTCTTAGAATGACAACACCAAGCTTGTAAGGAAGTCTCACACTTGAGGGAAGGTTCATACTTGCCAAAGCTGATAACTTTATGGATCTAGAGGACAAAGGGAGTCCAGATCTGAAGTTGCATCTTCAGATCTTGGCTCAAACACAAGATCCCTTTTCATAAAACCCACCCAAAGAGATTAAAGATGAAATGAGCCAAGGAAACAGCCTAATACCTTCAAGAGAGAGCCAACTGAAGTAGAACTTTGCTTCCCACGAGTTCCTTGCTTCAATTTACTTGTTTTCCCCAAGTGTTCCCTCACCAAGATCCCTCTTCCAAGCTTTAACACACCAAAGAAATACACACACGCGATTTAGGGTTTAAGAGTGTCAATGAGCTGTAAAGGGGAGGCTGGGGGAGGCCAATGATCCTTTAAATAGGGTGCAATACCCCAGAATTTAGGGTTTCATATGCCAGCTCCTACTCGTCGAGTCCCTTCTTGGACTCGGCGAGTAGGTCACTAAAAGACGCGGACCAACCCGCTGCTACTCGACGAGTAGGGTAACCAACTCGTCGAGTAGACCTTGAAATCAAGCAAATTCTAATATAAAATTGATACTTGAGAATCGGGGCGTTACAGTTTTGATTTCTTCAAAGGGAGATGGGAGACTCTAATGTGCGAGCGTCATCTAGGTGGATTTTTTATAAATGTGGGTTACATAATTTTGGACAGTCGTCCATCAGAGGAAAATATCGGTGGTGGAAAAGGGTAAGGTTATCCAATTCTAAGGGTAAGTTGCAAAAATATTAAAAAATTATTACAAAATGATCATATCTGAAACATCAATAGTGATGATTTAGTTGACGACCAATTGAACATAATACAGCTAATTGAATATTGTATTTATTAAAAAGGATACGGTTATCCAATTTTTTGTCGAGCATACATAATATCGTTGACTGTTCACACTACAGTTGTGTCGGTAAGTAGAAAAAAATAGGGATGAATATTTGACCCGGTGAAACCAGACTAGATAGGAAAAAAATCGGGAACTGGAATCGAACCGGGATATTCAATGTGACTCCCGATTCTCCAGTGTTCACAAAATCGCTTCCCCGTTCTTCGGTTCTTAGTCTAGTTTCGAAATCAAACACATTACTAAAGTGCACACTATCTTCTTTGTACAACCAAACCGAACCGGAATCGGGGTATTCGGTTTGGTTTCTAATTCTCTATTTTCCACTAAATCGGTTCTCGGTTCTCGGTCGGAAAAAAGTTTTTCAAAACTAAAACCGTTAATAATCTTATCTACAATCTATCATGTCTCAAAAAAGATTAAATATTTTGTCTTTAATTGCCATTGAGAATTATTTTTTGAAAATATAATAAGTCGATCTTTATAAAATAATAATTAATTAGTACTTTATGCTTTCTAAATATAATAAGTCGATCTTTATGAATTTACTTTTTTTTTATGCTTTTCATTGGAACATCATCATCAAAATCATAGGCACTAAACTCTTCTACGGGACGATGGAGTGTAGAAGATGGCCCCCAACTTTGAAAGTCGGTTGAGGTCGAGCCTTCAAATAGTTGGGTGCAAAGATCAGGGAACATCAGAGGTCTAGTTTTTAATGACATCACGAACTTGTTCAACTGTTTACAATTTTTGTAAATATTAGT